CCAAGCCAAGGGTTGAGATCCCCTTACCGGTCATCTTTTTTTTTTTAAAAAAAAAAAAAGAGTACATATTGTATTACCATATGATTTCACCATTTTCTCTGTTATTTGTAGCTTTTTTTCCAGATACTTTTTATAGGATTAAAGAGTTTCCATTATTTCTAATTTGCTGAGAGGTCTTATCATGAACAGTTGTTGAATTTTATATTTACTTCTTTACATCTATGAAATATTCTTTTTTCTGTTAATGTGGTGAATTACATGGATTGATTTGTAGCTTTTGGGTCAATTTCTTATTCCCGTATTTAACCACACTTAGTCATGGTGTATTACCTTTTTTGTATATCATTGGATTCACCAGATTTTTTTTTTCAGCTGCCCAGTACAGGGATCAAACCCTACTGGGCTTTATTCCATATTTTATTTAGGATTTTTTCACCTATGTTCATGAGACTTTTTAACTTTTTTGAATGGACTGCAATGTCCTGGTTGGAAAAAATATAGTATACCTTGTTGGCCTCTTAAGATGGAAATTAGATCTTTTTTTTAGTGGCTGGCCAGTATGGTATGGGGATCCAAGCCCTAGCCTCAGTGTTATAAGGCTGCACTTTAACCAACTGAGCTAACCAGCCAGCCAATACTTTTTGTTTGTTTGTTTGTTTCTGGCTGGTATGGGGATCCAAACCCTTGACCTTGGTTTATCCACACTGTGTTCTAACTAACTGAGCTAACTGGCCAGCCCTTACATCCTTTCTTCTTTTCTAATATCACTTAAAGCTATCTATTTCCCTCTAAGCACTGCTTTAACTTCATTCCACAATTTTTGGTATGTTGTATTTTTTATTTTCACTCAGTGCCAAATATTTTCTAATAACCATTGTGATTTCTTCTTTGACTCATAGGTTATTTGTTTAATTTCCAAATATTAAGGGATTTTTTCAATTATTTAGAACAATAGTGGTTTATGTTCTATTTGCTACATTCTAATGTTAATTTCTAGTTTAATTCTAATCTAAATAATACCAGTTCTCCATAATACCAGAAAATAGAACAATTGGAAACCAAAATTAACAAAACAATACTATTTACAATAGCTCCCAAAAATAAAATACCTATTTATAACTCTGACAAACAAATATAGGATCAGTATACCAACAATTACAAAATACTGATAACAGAAATCAAAGAAAATCTTTAAAAATGGAGAAAAATACTGTGTTCATGGATTGGAAGACTCAATACAGTAAAGATATTAATTCTCTCCAAACTGATCTATAGATTTTACTGATCTATAGATTTTTTTATTTCCAATCAAAATCCCAGCAGACATTTTCACAGATAAAGACAAGCTGATTCCAGTTGGTTAGAGAGTAGCCTTATGACACCAAGTTTACGGGTTTAGATCTCTGTATCCTCCAGCTACTAAGAGATAAAATAAAATAAAACAAAACGTATACGGGCCGGCCCGGTGGCGCACTGCTACAGTGCACCGCTTGGGAGCGCGGCGGTGCTCCCACCGAGGGTTCAGATCCCACATACAGACCGGTTCCCGCTCACTGGCTGAGCAAGGTGCCGGCGCGGCACCGAGGTTTGCGATCCCGTTGCCAGTCCCGGTCCGGTACGGGCGTGACACTGAGGGTTGCGATCCGTTGCCGGACACGAAAAAAGACAAAAAGGAAAAAAAAAAAACGTATATGGAAAGGCAAAGGAACTACAATGGCCAAAACAATATTGAAAAAAAGAAAAAAAGTTGGTGGAATCACTCTATCCAATTTTACAGTAATGAAGAGAGAATAATGTTGGCCAAGGGACAGACACAGAGCTCAATGGGACAGAATGGAGAGTTCAGGAGTAGACTCACACAAATATGGCCAATTAATTTTTGGCAACGGGGCAAAGGCAATTCAATGTTGTTGGAACAATTTTTCAACAAATGGTTTTGGAACAATTGGTCATCTAAATGCAAAACAAACAAACAAAGAAACTCAACCTAAACCTCACATCTTATACAAAACTTAATTTAAAAATTATTATAGATCCAAATATAAAACTATAAAACAGAAGAAAACAAGAGAGAATCTTTGCGATCTAGGGTTAGGCCAAGTGTTCTTAGGCATGACACCAAAAGCACTGTCATAAGAGAAAAAAAAATTGATAAATTGAACTCCATCAAAATTTAAAACTTTTGCTCTGTAATAGACCCTGTAAAGAAAATAAAAAGATAGAAGTGTGCCTGGAGACCTCAGCAGCCACAGGCAGCCACCCACTTAACCAGACAGCAAGAAATGTGCCCAGAGACCTCAGCAGACACAGACAGCCCCTACCCCTGTCACAGGCACCACTGCTACACAGGTGGTCTGCCACAGACACTGCCACTTCTGCCACAAGGGCAGCTCACTGCCACAGCAGCAGCCACCACTGCCATGCACGTGGCCCACTGACCACTCAACTTCAATGATACAAAGAGAGTCACCAGCAGAGCCTGGGGAAAGAGGTGTGTGAGCACACACCTGTGACCCAGTGGCCCACCCACAGGGGGAATTATGCTGCCATATGTGGTAGCACATCTGGGGGTGGGAGAACATGCACAGCCCACACAACTGCCTTGATCCAGAAAGAGACACACATGAAACCCCCCAAGAGTGCAGAAACGAGGATACCAAAATAGAGTAAGGAAGAAAATTCCCAGTCACCACCAACCCATCCCCAACTGGCCATTTAATTTTTGGCAAAGGGGCAAAGGCAATTCAATGTTGTTGGAACAATTTTTCAACAAATGGCTTTGAAACCATTGGTCATCTATATGCAAAAAATTGGTCATCTATTTGCATCTACATGCTCCTTCTGGAGCCTCTGCCTGCAGGAAAGAGAAAGGAGAAACCCCACCCAGGGTCACCCATTCAAACTAAGGAGATCCAGTATACCCAGTGCACCTACCAGAGTCCTGGGACACTAGTCAGGGTGTGAACATGCACTCCCAGGGTCACCCACCAAAGCCAAAGAGCAACAGGGTACCCAGGTGCTTCTCCCAAGAACTCAAGAGCTTACCCACATCCCTGATAAACCAATATAGTGTCACTAACCTCAACAAGGAATCACTAAGTGCCCCAGCACCTAGGCCACAGAGGCACTCACATGTAATTCCAGCACTGAATACCGTTGAAGTACCCACATGGAGACAAGACTACTACATCTACCTGGAACGAATTCTAAAACATCCTACTCAGGCTGGCCCATGGCTCACTTGGGAGAGTGTGGTGCTGATAACACCAAGGCCACGGGTTC